TCTTTGTTTCTCCATTGGAAATCACATACTCCAGACCCTGAGTATTCTTATTTCTTTCTTCTGTACTGTGTTTACCTGCACTGTGTTTCTGTATTGTGTTCTTCTCTCTTACAGTGACTGAAATGGGGCAGAATAATTCAGAGGGTTTAGCAAGGCCAAACAGAACAAAAACTTAATTAATTGTGTCACCTGCCCATAGATGATGATCCCTTTTTATGCAGACCAGTATAACTTGACTCTCATCAAAAGAGCTTGACATCATCAAATAATGATCAGCTGCAGCTTGTGTTGGTTGCAGCTGAGGTAGAGTTAATTTTCCTCACAGAGGCTGGTAAGGGGCTGTTTTGGATTTGTGATGAACACAGGGCTGATAATAAAGGGATGTTTTTGTTATTGGTGAGCTGAGCTTACCTACAGCCAAAGCCTCTTCTGCTTTTCCTACTGCCATGCAGGCAAGGAAGTTGGGGGTGCACAGGACCATTTCTCCTATCAAGCTCCTTTGAAAACTATCAAGCTCTCTTGAAATTCTGAAACCATCCCTTCAACACCTCAGCAGATGCCCTCACCTCTGTCACAAACATCCATATAATTAACAAACTAACTACTGATATCTTCAGACAGTTGAGCTTCAGGACTACAAAGTAACTCCCTGCAAAAGTGGACTACTGGAATCTATTCTGCATATAGTTTGCAAACAAATTTTGGACCCAAATTACATTCTTCTTCTCTGAGCCATTCTTCCCCTGTCTAACTCATGAACGTCCCATTTCAGGAGCTCACTAGAGGTCATGTGGATGGCACCTATTATTTCTTTTCATACCTTCACCAAAACTTGATATGCAAAAGTCAGGTGACTCAATCCCACCTCTGAACTTCTCATTTTTAAAGAGAAAACATTACCTTACTCAGAATGGAAATGCTCTGCTTTCTCTGTTAGCTGAGTTTTTATTAGATTTACTTAAACACTCAGATTACCCCAGCTGATCTCATCTACTTTTTAAAGTTCAAATTCTGAGTTACAAAGGGAACTGGAAGGCTAGTAAGGTCAGTCCAACTTCATAACCTTAAACATACTAACCAAATGATATGTAAATCAGGTCCCAGATGGTGTCAGATGATACCATTCATACATAAGGTTTTAAGCACAGAGCACATGACATTAGAACATCTAAAAGAGGATCCAAACAGAATTTCACTTTAAAAATTATGTCTACTGAGTACAGACTTCATTAAAACACTAGAAAAGTACCCCATTGTAAAATAAATCAGTGGTTTAGCTCTTTGAATTGTAAATGGTTTGGGTTTTTGAGTAGCACTTTCCCAAAACATGAAATATTTAGTTTGACTTCAGTTGATCTTCAAGTCACTTAAATTCAGAAATTTGGAAGATAAATATATACTTAACTCCCGGTCTCATCAAAAGCCTTTAAGGTGAGTAAACACATTTTGAAGTCTGAGCCTTGGTGTCTCTGATTCTCAAGTCCCCATCTATAAAATTGTGACAAATTTCTTTGCTATTCCCCATTGTATAAAGGCAAGTTATTCAGATAAGATGATCACAAAGACTAAGCAACTGCATTGGTATGATTTTTGTGTTTTCTTTTATAGATTTCAATATTCTTAATATGTTCTTCCTCTAGCAGTACTTTTTCATGCAATGTAAGATATATATTTGTACACCTTTGTTTCTGAAAGTATTGCTCTTAACTCTGGCACAAGTACAGCAGAAACAACAGTAATCAATTTGATTTGGCCTTATGAAACAAGTGTCATTTTGATAAATGATCCTAATTAAGTTGATATTTCAGGTAGAAAGTGTATTGAGTTAATGTGTTGGCATCTCCCTAGTTATAGCCAGACAAGTACAGATGTTGCAATAAAGCAGCAGCAGTACATTATTAACTTTGCAAGTCATTCAGTCTGCATTCACAAAGTTTGATCAAAGCCACACAACTCAGCAATTGAAAGAAAATGCTGATTTTAAGTTTTAATTATTCAGCAACATACACAAGTAGTAGTCCCAGGAAGTTTCAAAGCTATAGGTCATTCCTTGATGATCCCTCTCCAGCATGGAAATGATTAATTAGCATAGCGGCACCACAGTTGTTTAGAAAACCTTGCTCAAACACCAAAAGACAAAACCTGTGTTTCTTCTCTTTTACATAAATTTAATTACCGAGTGTCCTGTTAAGGCTAAAAGACATCATACATTTACATAAACCTAATTACCAAATGTCCTGTTAAGGCTAAAAGACATCATACATTTACATAAATCTAATTACAAGATGTCTTGTTAAAGCTAAAAGACATCATATGTTTATGCATTACTTTCTTATGCTGTGCAAGTCTTTGATCTGTGCCTCAAGGTTGGCAAATACAAGTTTAGTTTCCATTTAGCAATTGTAACAGATAAAATAAACACTAATCATCTGCTCTGAAGTCAAAGCAGTTTTACATTTTCCCCGTTTTTCTACCGAGTCCTCTGCAGCTCTCAATCCATTTATTGTGCTTACCAATTTGTACAGACTTGCAGCTACAGTTCCTAGTAAAACCCAACTCTCTTGCAGAATGGGAGCAGCTTTGTCACCCAGGTGGGACCAGCAGGTGTGATGTAGCCAGGCAGGAAACACCGCGCACCGGTGAGATGCCACACAACTCTGTCACCCTGAGTTTGTGGCACTCCAGCACCAGCTGGAGCTGACTCCTGGGACACCAACTTCCTCCTCAGACACTCCTGGGATACCAGCTTCCTCCTCAGACACTCCTGGGATAGCAGCTTCTTCCTCAGACACCACAGGGCTGCACATCCCCTTCTGGAATCCACAGGGAGCTGCCAGCCCGCTGTGCAGCCAGCAGTGGATGAACTCGAAGGTTTCTTCCCACTCTCAAACATATCTTCTTGGAAACACTTCCAGAGACTGAAAAGGACAAAGTGCTTCCTACCTGTGGCAGGTTTCAAGGGAGTTTGAAGAACCACGCCACAACTCCACAGCTACTCAAACCCTTGACCTTTGGAAATAGTCTTCCCTTCTTTTATCAACTCTGGCCTGCTAAAAACAAGCATGTAAGGCTGAAAATACCTTCTGCAGTTTCTTATATCCAATTACCCATCTCCTCAGGGGTTTCCTCTAGCAAGACAGCTGAAAGAAGTGGTTTCTCATATTTTTTTCAGATCCACAAAAAGGTTTCCTCTGGAGAAAGAGATCCTGTTCTTAAAATCTACCTGTCAAAAATCAGGATAGTCTCCACAGGTGTTTACCCCAAAGAAATAACCTTGACATTAGAACAGTCTACTTTCATGTTGTGGACCATGAGGCGGGGGGGATCAGTCACCATGGCTGTAACATTCAGGCTGACACATCAACTAAGATGGCCTGGAAATGAATGTACCATGGGCACGACAACAGATGAAAATTACTTCAGGCAGCCATGCCTCTGTCAAACTCATATACCTCAATGCAAACACAAAAAAAAAAAAACAAACCTGAACGCCTTACTTCTGAAACACTTACTTACTTACTTCTGAAAACTGAACATACTTCTATATGGTAATGAAAATAGGGCAAAAAGGTGAAAAAATAACAAACTCAGTACAAATTCAGTAAATTCAGTTGGCTACAACAGTAGAATACTCTTCTCTGGTCACAACAAAATGGAATATTTAGGCATCATTACAGAAAACAGGGAAAATTATACACCTGTTTCCTTGACAAACCCATATCATTAGTAGCATTACCAGTCTTAAATAAATAAAAATTATTTCTATCCACAAAAAACCCAAGAAAATACCAAGAAAATATCACTGTTAAGCATTATTTTTTTTTAAAGGCAAGTTTTAATTACCTTCAAATTTTGACAAAAAGTTTTCTAACACCATCTTAAGATCTTGCTGGAGTGATGAGGAATACTAGGAGTTAATAATTTATCTTACCTCACAAGAATTGTTCCAATGTGGACAGATCATGTGAGGCAGCCAAATAAGCCTTAATATTTTAAGATCACTAGGCACTAATACTGGAGCCAAAGAGGTGAACTCCCACAAGAACAGAAGCAGTCCTAGCAAATGACAAAGTGCTCTATGGACTCATATCCACTCTTCACACATCTGTTCATGCTCACTCTTCTATGAGATAAGGAACTACAAAGAAAAACAATGGATGAAGCTTTGTTAACAGCCTCAAAGCCTTGCAGGTGGTGCCCCATAAAGTTACCTGCAATGTTGGTATAAAAATGATAGATAAAAATATTTCCAGGAGTCAAGAGTCTCATTTACAGAGGTGATACTACCTGTCAACATCTCTGCAAGAAAAAAAAAGTACTTTGAGACAGCTGATGCTTCCTAGGTATCAAAGACATTTCTTGGAGCTCTTCTTAGAGGGACAGATCATGGTTGTAGGGTTGCTTCCTGCAAAAAGAAACAACGAGGTTCTGCCAGTGGTAAGACTCCACTGCTGATGCAGAGAATTAAAGGATTATCATCATGAACCACAGCACTCAGCTGGTCAGCAAACTAGCCTGAGTGTACAAACACACTTGAGGGGATCATGCCATGCAGGAGCTCATCTGGACACTGCACCAACTCGACCAACCACGCTTACAAGAAGAGACCTCTAACTGTTCTCAGGATAAACACCTTCACTTCTTCCCCCACCAGCATCAGGTTCCACCTGACACACGCCTTTACTCGGCTCTGATACAGGGACAGTGCCAATCTGCAGTGCTGGAGTGGTGGTCTGGCAGGAGGGAAGCAAGGGTGCTTAATTTCTGCCCAGTGCCAAGGATATTGCACTGGCATAGTTGTCATGAGTTCTGCAGACACTATTTGGCTAAAACTTCAGATGAGGAGTATTTTCCCCCAACCTGACTCACTAAGTCAGAGTTAGAACCTCTCTTGTGAACTATACAAAAATACAGGTGCTGACATCTCTCTCTGAACTTCCCTGTCTTCACTGAGAAAGCCCAAGACAGACACAGAGCCCAATAAAGAAAATGCATGCAGCCTTCTGTGGCTATCTGTAAAGGAGTTAAAACAGTGTCTTAAACATCAACAGCATTGAGGGGGTCTGATATGATACGTTGCTTTGGTCACAATCTGACCAACACATTTTCAAAGAGTGAAAGGGAACACATCTTCCACTCAAGGGAAAAAAAAAAAAGAAAAAAAAAAAAGAAGAAGAAGGATACTAGGGATACTTCCTAACACTATTCTAGTTGTACAACTACTTTAGACTACCAGTGGGGTCATGCACTACCATGCATTTGTCCTCAGGTGGTACTACAGGTACTGCAAGAGGGTACCCCTGAATCTCAGCTGGGCCCAGAATCAGCTGTTTAGATTTCAGGTTGGCATATATCCATTTCTAATAAAGTGCAAATCATAAGGGAAATACTTACTAAACAACTGACTTTTTCACTACAAAAATTAAAATTACCAAGGCCATAAAGATCTAGAAGAAAACAGTTTCTGTATCACAATCTTACCTTCAGCATGGGGATAAATCTTTTTAATTTTAATTTTATATATTCCTTTATACACACTGCACATATAAAAGGGACAGAGTTCAATACCAATAACATCCAGTGGTTAAATAATCCACTATTTAGTGTAGTAATTTTGCTATTCTGTTTAATCACTTTGCAATGAAAGAAGCATCTGTGCACTAAGCACCACTTAGAAAATTTCTAAAAATAGCATAATACTCCCTCTAGACTAAACTTTCTTTTGAATTTTTTTTTCCCCACCACAGATAGCTAAATCTTCCTGCATTGCTGACTTGGAAGCAAGAATATGTAAAAGTTGCAATTCATTTCACTGCACCATCTTGTGGTTAATAGTAGAAGCCACAACAAGAATGATCCACAGCAGTACTGTCAGGTGTTGACAAGACATCTGCACTGCCCCACGCTTTTAGGATTTAAACTGACTCCTTCAAAGTGTGCCATGGAAAGCTATCTATCTCATTCCAGCAGCCAGGTTACAACAGAGAGCAGAAAATGATGAAATTTGTTATATTTTGGGTGTTTATTTAGCTATGCAGCAAGTCTTAAATATCCAGTCATACAGTCTTGTTATCTCACTTTCTTACATCTGGATTTTACCCTTCCCTTTACACAGCTGTACATCACAAATGCAACAAAACCCTGACAAAAAAAGTTCAGGCAAACAAGATGACAATCTCACGGCACATAGCATCAGACCATGGTGTACCACCTTACACCTTTGCCTGTCAAGTCTGAGATGGCAAAGCAGAGGTGCCAGTTGAAAAAACTTAATGCACAACAGCTCCTTTTATATTCACTTCATTGAGAAAACTGGAAGGCATTTGCAAATAGCCACAGGCACTGACTACAGTGGTTATACCCCCTTCTAAAAATTCTTGTGCTTGTAGAGGAGGCAAGGACAATTTTCATACAGGTGCATGAACATGAACATACATGAGCATGAACACATTTTCAAAATCATTCCAGCATTTTTTATTGTTTTCTAGTATTCTCAGGCCAAACTGAAAATCAAGGCAGACAGAAGTCTTACAGTCACACTTATAAATGACTTAATGCTGCTCTCGAAAGTAAAGAGAATGTAAAGTACATGGAGCTGTTAAAGGGAATTCAGCTATTTTACTATATGGGGCAGAGAAGGAACAAAAACCAGTGGACACTTCACTAGATCAGTTGATACAGTCTTACAAAAATGAGGTTTTGATGACTACTAATGAATGTTCAAACAGTTAATATTTGGCAGGCATTAAGGCTTTGCAACTAAATGACAAAAAGCTACACTTTAAAAACTTTACAAAATATCAATAAAGTATTAACTACCAAGAGCAGAGAGCTATTAGCTCATTCCTAGCAGTGAATTTAAAACATTCTCATCTCCTTGAAAACCATTAGCCATAAAAATATTTATGCCCAAGCTGTTATAAAGGCCACTTTACTAAAACTAGACAGTTTTTTTATTCAACAGTAGCAAATGAAGTAGATACTGGTATAAATGTGGAAAAGTACTGACAAAGTCACAAAAGGGAAAAGGAGGAAGTACCCTCACTACTGATGATATGAAAAGAAGACCCCTTAACAGACCAGGTTTAATTAGCATAGTTGTTCTTTGAAAAGCTACTAACACAGTAAATCTGTGTGAATAACTTTAAGTATACTAATACTGATTAGCAACACTTAAAGCCATCAAAGCTGTAGTGGTTTGATGCTGGCCAGATGCCAAGCACCCACCTAAGCCACTTTCTCAGCTGGACCCTATACAGCCAGACAGGGGAGACAAATACAGAGAAGGGTTCATAAGCTGAGACAAGGATGGGGACAGATCATTCACCAATTATTCTCATTGGCAAAACAGATATGAATTTGGGATGCTAATTGAATTTATTGCAAACAAAATTAGAACAGGATAATGAGAAGTATAATAAAGCTTAAAAACCACCTTTTCCTCATCCCTCTGTCCTTCCCACACTCTACTTCCTCACCCCAGTGGCTCAGGGAGACAAGGTAGGGGGTCATGGTCAGTTCATCGTGCACTGTTTCACTGCTCCAGCGTGGTATCCTCTCTCCACTGCGCTGCAGCTCCCTGCCAGGATCGTGCTCCTCTATGGGTCTCTCACTGGTTCACAGTCTCCTCTCAGGCATACACCTGCTCCAGTGTGTGCTCCTCCATGGGATGCAGGTGGATCTCTGTGTCCTTATGGACCTCCATGGGCTGCACGGCTGCCTCACCATGGTCTGCAGAGGAATCCCAGCTCCAGTGCCTGGAACATCTCCTCTGCCTCCTTCCACACTTACCTTGGTGTCTGCAGAGCTCTTCTGCTCACATGTTCTCACCCCGCTCTTCTCCGGCTGCAACTACAATTACACAATAAAACTTTTTTTTTCCTTCTTCTTCTTCTTAAATGTTATCACAGAGGCATTACTATCACTTCTTACCTGCCCAGCCTTGGCCAGCAGCACATCTGTCCTGGAGCTGCCTGGCATTGGTTCTGCTGAACATGGAAGAAGTTTCTGGCACCTTCTCACAGAAGCCACCCCTGTAGCAGCCCCACTATGAAAACCTCACCATGCAAATCCAATAGAGTAGCAATTAAAGCAGAATAATGAGCTCTCTTTTAGGCACCAAGTGCAAGTGAAAGAAAAAATGAACCATGCTTAAACTAGGCAGATTTTTTTCTCCTCAAACACACCAGCCAATTAACAAATATTATTTCAACACAGCATTGTTGGGCCACAAAAACTCCCGAACCTCTCCATTAATCTATGGACATCCCAATCAACTTTTATTCCACACGCTCACTGCCTGCAAGTACTTTACCTACAATATTCAAAGCACTGAACTGAAACCTTCCATTATTCTATTGTGCTCATGCTCTGCACAAGATGAAGATCATGGAGCTTGCTCAGAAATAGTCATACTCTCCTTTAGCTGCAATAGCAGCAGCACAAGGTACTGCCCAGACCCATATCAAAGGCATTTAGCACCTTCCTGCATATATACCTTGACAGCTGTTAAGCAAAAACCTAACATCACTACTCCATGATAAGCTAATTTGCTTCATAAAACAAACTTAGGTTTTTCTTAGGTATTTCTTCCTAGAGTTTACATCAGAATCCTTGATGTTGTATTAAAATGCTTGTAGTGTCTAAGTGGAAAAAGTCAAGGGAAATAAATTTGTACCTAAAATTTATTTAGAACATTAATTTTAACTAACAAATCTAAAATTACATTTAAATATATTAAAACCTATGTTAGAGACTAACCCAACGAAAATCTGTTCAGCAAAGCCAAAAGCTTGCAGCTTAAAGTGCAGCACATCCTCTAATAAAATTATGAAGTTGTGCCAATGTCTGACACATGGAACTACAAATTTCCAAAGTGGTAACCCAGTTTTGCCAGCACCATCCTCTCCTGCAGCATAAGAGGCAGATTTTTTCATTTTATTTTGTTCAGCTGGTTCCACTCATGACACAGATCCTTTGTTGTTTAAGAATCTGACTGGGAGCTGAAGAGGCAGGAAAACCTTATGCACTTTCACACGAAGGATGAGCATTTTGAGCTGGACATGACAACACCTACACATAGACCCACATATGCAGCAGCATGAAAGTGTGTGTCCAATGAGAAAAAATGGGATGACCACAGTGTAGTTTCAAAGAGCCTTTTGAAAGATGAGGTAAAGCCAATTTCACCAACAAATGGAGGAAAAAACTGCAGACATCCTAGTGCACTATTAGCAGGCGGTGTTACAGACACCATACAACAAAATAGGTATACTAAGCATGAATACAGGAAAACAGAAATCTAACTTTCATTTCAAAAATATATGCAGTTTAATATGAGGCAAAAAAAGAGAAGACAGATTTATGTGGGAGGAATGATACATGACATACCCTAATAAGATGGATAGAAATGCACTTCTCCATTTGTTATCTTTTTCTACAAGGGTAAACAAATGAGGGCTTGGTTTCATTCACTAATAAAAAGCATATGTACAATTTTATATCTTAACATATTTCTATTTAAGTTCATACTACCATTTAGCTCTGATAAGCACTGCATATATTTCACATCCAAGTGAACAGTACAATTAATAAGACAAAGTAATTTTACAGAAGCTTCTCAATTTAATAAATTCCTATTAGATTGTAATATGGATGTAAAGACAAGATCTGTTTCTTTCACTGCTATCTGAGAAATACAATTAAAGTCTAATTTGTTGAAAAGCACTTTCAGGCAGAGATACAGGATCTGATGGGCATGCATTAAATAAAATATACTTTCAGAATAGTAGAATAACTCCAAATGTTAGGTAACATACAAAGAACCTTCTAGGAAAATCAAGCCATGTGCAGGTATTTTCCAACATCATAAAAAAATCTAAAAGTCATTTTACATGAATCAGTTAAAAGCCTTTTGATCAACTAAGTGGCAATATTACATCCCTGTCTCATTTTGGCATCTGGTTGCCAATTATTTTTAAACAATACCTGACAAATACTTTGCCTTAATCTTC